TGGAAGATTTTAGTCTTCTGGGAGTGGGGTTTATTTTAATTTCATTGTCTTCTAAAGAACAAGAAATACCTGTAATTACTGTGCTTTGAAGTTAGTAATTATGTCACTGTTGTACTGATTGTGAAGCTTTTACCTCTTGACCTAAAAGGTGGTTGTGGTTCAAACTGTAACTTGACTGAGATGGAGCATCTGGCAAAATTGCCATGCAAGGCTGCCAGCTCTTGGGGGTGTGCCCCACAGATAGAGCCTAAGGGCATGCATGGTCTGGGCAGGTCAGGTTTTTTTTATACTAAAATGCAAATGGTTGCTTACAGAGAAGCATAACAGTGATGATAAGCCCTTCCTTCCCCATCCACAGCCCCCTTTTATTGCGTGGAACTCAGCTCTAACAAAATAGCACATTAAGAGGCTGGTGGGCAGCACTGTCCACAGCAGAGCATTCAGCTGGTGGAGGGAAGTAGACTTGTGGATGGAGTCTCTTCTCCCCCCACTAGGCTCCATGGTTGACCTAACTAGAGACTGGAACAAGTCCCAGGGAGACTCCTGAATGGTGGTGAGACCTTCTTTTCCTTATGCCATCTGGATCCTCTGTCTCAAACACCCTCTGCATTAACAGACATCTCTTGACCTAAATGGCACTTACAGCTCTGCTCTGGACTCTTGAAGTTGATGAAAGGAGGGATTTTTGCTGGCTATGGCTGGGCAAACTGGGGAGAAGGGCGGACTCATGGTGGAAAGCTTATGCCCTGCCTCCAGGTCCTGTGCCTCTCCGCTCCTTGCGTGGAAACACTACGTAGGTAGCATTAATGCTACTGTTGGTCTGCAACAGAGAACGAGGAGGTTGAAAACAAATGCAGCAGCAGGCTGGCTTGCACCAGGAGAGGTGTGAAATTAGGATGGTGGATACTGTGATAATAGAGCAAAACAAATTCAGCAGCGCTTTAAATAGAACACAGCTAGGACTGGAATCCCACTATTGCAACTCCTTACTAAACTCCTTTTGGAAGTTGCTAAATCACTTCTGTGGCTTGCAGTCCTCAAGTGCTACAGAGAGGCAGAGCACGTTTCAGGGGGTTTGTACATGGCTGAAAGGGGTTTAGCAAATTCAGAAGGGGCCCATTGGCAGGTGACTCAGGCCTCTTTCTGCTAATGCTGCTGCTTTTATACTTGCTGCATAGCACTTGATCTTGATCACCCCATCCTCTGAATAAAATCTTACTTGTTGCAATGATGTAGAGCTCTGAAGACAGGTTTGGATGAGCCTGGATGATGGCTAAGGGAAACCTGGCCCATGCTGGTGGTACAGTGGTTCTGAAAGGCTTTGGATGCTGCCACATTCAGCCTGGAGCATGAACACCCAGCTTAAAAGATGTAGCTGAACTCTAACCTACGAAAAATAGCAGTTGAAAGCAGTTCTGAAGCTTTCTTTAGATCAGCTCCTAAGTCTAGTCTGTCTCTTCCATACTGTGTTATTTACATTTACTTTTTTTATATTTCAGTCAAAAACTAAACCCAAGAGAGTAAAAGCAATTTACAACTGTGTAGCAGATAACCCAGATGAGCTAACTTTTTCGGAGGGAGATATTATTGTAGTCGATGGTGAAGAAGATCAGGAGTGGTGGGTGAGTATTTTGCATTTTCCATCAACATACTTGAAAGAAATAAATGAAATCTGGAGGTTGACACTAACCAGAAAATCCCCCAGCAGCTTTCCAAATAACAAGAAACGTTTCATCTCATGAAAACCCGATTCCAGAAACTTCTTTTGCTCAATAATCAAACTTCAGATTAGTTTTTGACTTTTCTCATTCAGAAAAAAATTAAATCTCATTAGTAGGGTTCACAGTATACAGGGGACATACAGGAAATTCTTGGAGGGTGTCAGCAGTTTAAGAATCGGCTGCTAATCATCTTCCTTGAAGATTGTCCTAATTCTATTTTCCTAGTTCTTCAGCCGACTGAGATTGAGAAATGGTCCATTTGAGCTGGGAAGCCATCTCAACTATTCACATTCCAGAGTTTCATCAGCTAAAGCAGTGTCTTGGAAAATTGTTATGCATAAGAACACTTGCCTTACTCTGTTAGCTAGCGAAGAACAGAACTTCAGATTGCATCCAAATTGACAATAATGCTGTATAAACACAGATGGATTCATGTAAAGCCCAGAACTGTTGAAGCTTGATCCATCCTTTTACCTTTCAGTGATTGTTAAGAAAATGAGCTGCCAGGCATCGCAGGATGCGCTGAAATGACATAGCAGTGGTACTGCATTAATAGATTTTACTTTCAAAGAACTGGATAAAACAGAATTTTAGAAGAATGTCTACAGGTGAATAATAGATGCACCTTGTCAGACTGAATTCTCTGATGTTTCTCATTTGCAAAAGAAAAAGAACACCACTGCAGAAAAATGTAGGGAGAGGCAGGTCATACTGCAGGCAGGAAGGCCACTGCTATTAATTTTGGTGGTTCTGAAATGCCTATTTGAGATTAACTTGAAAAATATCTGGACTCTTTCAGATTGGTCATATTGATGGAGATCCCAGTCGGAAAGGAGCTTTCCCTGTATCATTTGTGCACTTTATTGTTGACTAACTTGCTACTGATAAGTGGAGACATTTCTCATTTCCAGCGGTCACAGAAATAAGTTTTGCTCTATTTCATTTCATCTACCTATCTGCAGACACCTTGCCAGAGCACTGCCCAAGTCCTAGGTACTGTAGCTTACTTTTTTATTGCCATTGTTCTGTTTTGGGGACTTTTAAAACTTTTTTCTATGTGAAAACTTCTCATGAGCAGTTTACACTTAAACAAAAAAAAAAATCAAAACAACTCTTCCTGTATTTTTCAAGGTGAACTGAAAAGCTTTAACAATCAAACTCCATCTAAGTGTGTGAACTTCACAACACCATGAATGTTCTTTTCAATCAATTCACTGTAATTTTATTCTCCCTTTTGTAACATGACAGTACCACAGTTCAGTGTTGCTTCCCCAGTCAAAGAAATTGTGTGCATCTAACAGGGCAGTGAATTTATCCAATTCTCGATACCATTTGAAGTGTCGGAACCAAAACATGCAAGCTGCTGCCTAGTTCTAAATTGGACTCATTCAGCATCTTGCCGTACTGGCTGTCATCCAGGATGTCAACAATTACAGAAGAAATTATTTTAATCTGGGTGTCTTTGGCCAGGTAAAAGCGAAAAAGTATTTCAGTTTACCACAGGAGAAACTTCTTTCTTTCAGAATGGATGTAGATATTTGCTTAACGTTATCTGAAATCTGTGTTAGTCGTTGAACTTTCTAGTTCTAATTTTGTGAGCTTGAGACTGTTTCATTTTTCTATGCTGCACGTGTGTAGAATCTGTTTTTTGAATGTTCTTTATGTATGTTACATCCATTTTGGTCATTTAATGTGACTACTGCTGGTTAACTAAACTATGGCAATATTAACGAGTTACTACATTAACTCAAGGATATAAAAACTGCACTTCCTGAAATGTACTTAACTATGATGATGGATTGCAGAGCATTTCTTACACGTCTCATTATAGTGTTTAGACTTTGGTTTTAAATTCTTGAATTTTCTTAAATGATCCGGCAATGTGTTCACAGAAAGAACATATTTGGTGGAACGCTTCGATAATTATCCTTGGTCAATAAGGTATCTGACACCTCACCAGTACAACATGTTATGTTCTGTTTTATAAAATTTGTGTGCCACTACCTTGCAAACAATGACAGTTTGCAAACTCACTCTGTATTTATATAGTATACCCACGTATATGGTAGCTACACTGTTGTTAAATTTGTTTTACTCATTTGTGAACAAAGGCTAGGCCATGGATAGTTCCCAGTTGGTTGACAGAATACAAACCACCAACACAAATCTGACGTCATTTTGATGTTTGTATATTGTGAAATTGTACCAGGTTTTGCTTATGCTACAGGAGACAACTGATGGCATAGGATAAGAAAAATCAATGTCTAGGTCACATTGGCTTTGATCACGTTTTGTGAATATTGTATCTCTAGATTTATCAAGAGAACTTTGAATTTCTGACAAATGGTGTTAAATTGGCCGTTTCATATTGAACAGACTGGAAAATAGGCCACCACCATATATGCTTATTTGGAGAAAAATCTTGTTGCGTTAGTGCTGGAAGAGCAACACTGATCTTGCCTTGTATCGCCTTTCCTAAATGGTACAGTTGGTTGTTACCTCTCAAACGTGTGGGTACAGCCAAGTATACGCAGAACTTTCCTTTCCTGGATGCTGTTGCTGCAGTGTAAATGGGGAACAAACTGGAATGTTTCAAGATATTTTTGTTGCAAGTTGAAGCAAATTAGTCTGTATTTTCAAAGTTCCCAGTAAAATGATAGAGTTATAGTTTAGCACTACAGTTTTATTCACTTACTGATATGTTCAGTTTGCAACACTATTTTGTATGTTTCTATCCCTGATAGAGTCTAGAGAGTAAATGGGCATATTATTTTGCACAGATCTCCTAATGTACAGTATTTTTAACACAGAATCTTATAGTGTATGTAACAACTCGTAAAGATAAACAATGATGCAAATTTTCCTTGAGTTCTGCTAGAAGAGCAATATACTTTAAAATGTCACAACCTTGTTCTCTGGTCGCTTAGAAACTAGGAAACTTGCAGAATACAACTTAATAGCACTAACAGTGCAGACAGGTGAAATCTTGAGGACCAATAAAGAGCAGCTAAGCAAAATTTATCCCTAGAGTTTCCGTGTTTCTCAAAGTTTGCTCCTCTGGCAGAGGAAAAAGAAATTCTAGAGCCTGTAGATATCTATTTATAATATAAAATTAAGAATTTTAAGTCCAAAATTTTGGCATATTTCATACAACTTTTCAAATCTGATTAAAATGATTCAAAAAACCACTGTTAATAGACAGACTATTAGGTTGCTGTGTTAACTGTTTAAAAGGAGCAAGTGACACTTAAAATGCAGCTTAGAATGCTATGAGATGTATAATATTCAATTCAGTTGGTTTTATTTTGTTTAGTTGCAGAGCAACTGTATATATTGTATAACCTAAAATCAACTCTTATTTTCAATGTCCTGGATGCAGTGATTTATAATTAGAGCATGATTAATAAATTTTACTCTTGTTAACCAGTCAAATGTCTGGAAAAATAAAACTACTTTTAAAATCACGTTGGCTACTTCTCTTCTGTTACTCTGCACTGCTTAGGCAATATTCTTCTTTACAATATGTAAAATGAGAAATACAAACAAGTAGCACTTGAACAAAAAACCTGTACATCTTGTGGATTTTTAGTTGAACATAGAAGCTGTGTGGATGGCACGCCTAAGATTAAATTAGAGGTGTAAAGCATCAAATGACTACCTGTTATCATTTTGCTCTTGTTTTGTTCTAGTATGAAGGTTAAGCAGAACTGAAGTCAGTTTTAACGAACTCTTTTTTAGACAAAGAGATAGAAGCAAGTGTCAGTTTTATTTTACATTTCTACAATATGGACATTAATATACAAAATATGATTTAGGAAAAAAAAATCATGTTAAATATAAAATTCTGTATTGTCCTGGAAACTGGAGATGGAATAATTTCTTCCAGTCATGTTTGGGGAATGACAAAGTACCATGTGCAAGGTTGCATGGCTCTGTTTTGCACAGCAAGTCTTTTCTAGGTTTGTGTAAGCTACAGGCAGTCTGTGGTGTCACAAAGGAGCCCCATTTCCTCCCCACACAAAGGCCTCTTGTACTACACAAGTCATGTGCTGCTGGAGAAAATCAGGACTTCTCCGACATTAAAACTGAATCAAAGGCTGTAGATAACACTTTGCAAATGGCTTGTGCTTGTTCCTAAAATCAAACAAACAAAAAAGCGCACATTAATACTTTCTGAAGAACTTCTAAATGTCTCTAAACCCTTAAAGCAGAATGCGACCTTCATCATTCTTTTGGCAGAGACATGCAAAATGGAGTAGCACAAGTGAGATTTAATTTGATTTCTGTGGTCTGCAATGACATGTGGGAAGCTGTTTTAAATGAGCTCTTTTGAAACAAGTCAGAGTTGTTAGCTTACATCATAGCATGACACTAACATTCAGAAAGTCAGTTCCTGTGTTCCCCCAGTGCTGCTAAGGATGTGTGTCATATTATAGTATCTTGACAATTAATTCTCCTATTCTTAAGAAGGGATTGCTTCCCTGGCTTATAAATAGGAATGTGTGCTCTATTCCCAGAATTGTTACTCAATCCCTCCCTGCCCTGTCCAATTTTAAGAGGTTTTTGTCTTCAAAAATACAAACAGAGGATTGTCCTTAGCAGCCACCGTAGCAGCCATTAGATTGTAAAGAACTTTCTCAGGCACGTATGCTCACTGGCAATTTTAGGGAATGGAAGTATTTTTTCTTCAAAGCTGATCAAATGCAGTTAGCAGGGCTTTTCTCCCCTCCTCGGCCACATTTGTACCTTTTTTAATTGAGCAATCCCCCTTCTGCCAAAAAGTCTTCACCAGGGCCTTGGGTTCTAGAATCTCCCTTCACAAACAAAATACTGATAGCTAAATTAAATACTGTAAACGTAAACTCTTACCAAACTATTGCACTGATATACCCAGAGGCTGCATTCTTCAGAGGCTGCATCTGTTGTCTTCAAAGCCAGTAAACTTTTTCCTGCTCCCAGACCATCATCATAGCAGACCATCCGTACAATTAAATAGAGAGCATGCCTATGTAACACATCCTGAAACCATGTGGCAAATAAAAGTTACTCTGGAACAGTGCGACAGCTATTTCAGTTTTCCACCTGTTTTGATTCTCTCTTACAAAAGAATACTTCAGATTTATTTAGAGGAGAAAAGTATTCCTTGGTAAAATCATAATTTCTTTAAGGGAGAGTTTAGTCGAGATTCGAAAAAAAGAAGTGGTGGTTTAACACAACTTGAGCTTTAATTTTTTGCTTCTACTTTGGAATTGCATTCATATGTGGTCTATATTCCTGGCCATGCTGCAAAAGCAGACATTTGTGTCCTACCTATCCTCACTCGCCCTCAGCGAGTAGGATGCGGTACACTCCACGCCTCGGGCACAGAGGTAGCTTACAACGAGTTTTTACTTTTCCAGTATTTTTCCAGACAGTCCCCTGTCTCACTTCTGGAACGGTACACACAAGGAACTGTTCCCAGAAGTGTATGGAGCAGGCTGCTTGCTCTGGGGGGCGGAGGGGTTAGCCATGGGGGGCCTGAGCCACAGCACGGGTCCTGCCTCCGGCAGAGATCTGGTCTGGGAGACTTCTCCTCCCCACCGCAGCTGCAGGGTTTCACCCCGGTCCCAACAGTTCTGATCTTGGCCATACCACAAAGGGGCTGGTTGACATCACCCTGTACAAGGTCTCTGCAGACCTACCCTACACAAAGCTGGTCTTCTCAAGCCATCCTACTCAATCAGTAATATTCATCTGGTTTATTCCAGTCACACTACCTCTAGGGTCTGATGACTTCAAGACAGCTCTTTTTCCGTGTTCACGGGATCAAACGCCTCGTTCCCAGCAGTAGCTGAAGGGTCTAAAGAAACATCCACTCATACAGAAACTGTAACAATGGACAGTGAGCTTGATGCCTGCTATGAAACTGTCAAGGGAGATCCCTCTACCAGGGCTCCTAAGACCCCCTTGCTGAAAAACATCTCCATCCCTGACCGTCACTCAGCAATTGCTCACAATTATTCATACAATTACCATCTATCACACCGTGCTGAAGGCAGCCGGAGCCAACGTGGAACTTACTGGATCAACCCTCCAGCCTCTGTATGACAGATGCCAAGATATCCCTCCAGATTACTTGTAACCTTTTAGAGTTACTTGCTTGGAACTTGCTACAGTGCGAATGTGCATGTGGATTATCACTAGAAGAGGAAGGATAGAGTTCTTTAAAGTACACAGTCCCCCTATAAGTTAATTTCCTCCCCTCCTTCCAGTATTTGGCTGAGGAGATTCTGCAGTTGCCAGGGAAAGGAGATGACAGATGGACAAACTGTGCCATATGTGTATATACATATATATAATGTACAAATACACACAAACAGAATGTGAAGAAGGCCAAAGCCTCCGTGTGGCTTCTAGAAGTACTTCACCTTTGGTTTCCAGTGGTTGCATCCACAAACAATGGAAATGTATCAGTCAATTACCTATCTGTACGTAGTTCAGTCACTAATTAAATAATTTCTCAAATGTTGGCTGAAATCCATGAGGAAAAATTTTGTATCCTGCAGTCAGTTCTCTTTTTGGCATCTGAAATAGATAGCTGTCTATTCACCTGCAAAGGTGTCTACAAATCAGAGAAAACTCACCCTTCCCCCAAAGTCATGAAAGACTGAATTCTTTGTATGAATGCAGAGAAAACCTTTCGATTTGGAGCTCTATGAAAAGAGTTAAGTGGACTAACACACTAAAGGACAAAATAAATGTCAACAGTGACACAGATGCAAAAAGCCAGAATTTGGGAAACAGAATGCAATGCAATAAAACACCGGTGCAAGCTAGCTTAATCACAGGTGGCTTTATCAGTTTGTGCATGCTTTCAGCTTGAAGACAGAAGAACAATGGGTAATTTTAAGACTTTGATCCATTTGATCTTTATGAAAGTACGAAGGAATTATTACAAAGTAATAACATAACCTATGTTCTTAATGAGAATTAAGAATTTAGAAAGACAGCAAAAACAGAACCCAAAAGAATTCGAAGTTTGAGTAACAACTAGTACACTTCCCCCCAGGCAGCAGAAACAAGTGTTTTATTTTCTGAAGGGACCAAAGAAACTTCTTGGCTCTCTTCAGAGTATTCAGCTATTGAGCAATGCTACTTGAGGCTTTTATGAACAGGCATTGCTGGGTTGTTGAGGGGTCATGACTTCATAAGGCCAAGTATTTATGGTATCTGAGACTCTGAGGGCAACCAGAAGGAAACCATATGGCTGCAGTACAAAGCTACACAAAGCCAACTGGAGGGCCCTGGGGAAGAGACCGGATTTTTATTTTTAGCAAAAAAGCTACTTGAAGGGTGCAGAAAGAAAATAAACTACATGTAGGAAATGATGCAAACAAAAAATAGGTTTGATCAATAAAGTGGAATGGTGAGGCTTTAATGCTGGAGTTTAACTCACACTCTTGGATTAGGAGTGCAAGGCTGGAACTTCTTTAAAGAGGAAAACAACTCAGGTATTCTTGGAAAAAAACATCCTTTGTTTTTTCCTCTCCACAGCAACGTCAACAGGAATTGCATTACTAACTCAGGCTGAGGAATCTTTGGTCTTGGCCACCAGTCATGCTACTTTTCCACATGAGAGAACGGCAGGGCAGCCACAGAGAAAGGAAGATGTGCCCAAAGAGCATAAAGGCTTGCTTGCCTTTTGTCTGGTGCTCTATCTCAAAGGGAATGGATTTTTGTCATAAATCCAACCAGTCCAACCTGGAAAATACAGAGAGCCCTGAGGAGGTACAACATGAAGCAGTGCTGCTGTGAGAGCTTTTTTGTTTGTTTTACTTTTGCTTCAAGCCAGAAGTGACATTTTGGTCACAGAGATCATCAGAGAAATAAATGAAAGCACTTTCCAACTCTCACCAAAAAGACGGTTTGTTGTGAATCACTTACATACTGATCAGACGTTGAAACTTTAATGCCGTATTTGGAAACTCCCATAATAAACTCCTCTTCACCTGGAACAAAAGGTAACTTTCCATCTTGCTTTGGAAGAAAACAAACAAAAGCCTTTAGTGCAGACAGAAGAACATGAACAATGAATATACATAATAGAAAATGTGTTTATGTGTACTTCAGTCCGTCCACTGGATCAGCAACGTCACTATCCCCGCTCATATCTTGCTGTGTGGAGCCTGCCTGACACTCTTGCACTCATCAAATCTCTCAACATTATGTGAAATATATTCAGGGGAGGTTTAGGTTTGATTCCCACCAAGAACCTGGAACAGGCCTTCTAGAGAGGTGGTTGATGCACCAGGCCTGTCAGTGTTTAAGAGGCGCGTGGGACAATGCCCCTGACAACATGCTTTAACTTTCGGTCAGCCCTGAAGTGGTCAGGCAGTAGGACTAGATGATCGTTGCAGGTCCCTTCCAACTAAAATATTCTATTCCATTCTACATACTACACGATTCCAGAAAGGAACTTATAATTTCAGGGGCAAGTTTGGCCCTGTGGTCAAATCAGATGGGCTGAAAAATAATGCATGCCCTGTCATGCTGCACTGACGCTGGGCGATCTATGTTCCACACTGGCAGCAATTTTGTTACTTGGCTGTAAAAACAGTTTTAGCGTATATTCAAATACTTGCAATGTCAAGTTGCTGTAAGATAAACAGACATTCTGAGCTTTTAAAGATACAAACAATCAACTACCTAATGAGAACAACCAGTTACGACTTTTAGTACAAAAATAAGCACAAGCAACCAGTTTGGCAAGTGCGACCCAAATATTATTCAGGTTCTTTGGTCACAGGTTCATAAGTGATTGTAAGCAGAAACTTGACATCTTCTACGGGAAAACTTCTACAGTACTGAGGAAATCTGGAGGAGATATTCATTCAGTAATGACACATGAAAAGGGCCTTTGCTCTGAGCCTGCTTCTTCAGAACAGCTTTTTGGGTGCTGCTTCTCCACTGTCCTGGTTTGGGCTGAAATAGTTAATATTCCTTTTCAGGGACTAGATGAGTGCTGTGTTTTGGATTTAGCTTTGGGTTTGGTATGAGAAGAATGCTGATAGCACACTGGTGTTTTCAGCTGCTATGAGACTTCAAGGACTCTCCGACTCCCCATGTTCTGCCCGTGCACAAGGGCACAGGGAGCAGGGAGGGAGCACGGACAGAGCACCAGACCCAAACTGGCCAGTGAAATATTCCATATCATGGCACGTCATGCTCACTCTATAGAGGCGGGGTGGTCGGGAAGGGGGGCTCTCTCTCTCTCGCGCGTCTGGGATTGCGATTGTGGGATCTTGGTATCTCGGAGTCGCTGGCCGGGAAGGGGCTGGGTATTGGTCAGCGGGTGATAAGCAATTGCATTGTACATTGCCTGTTTATACATTTCCTTTTTTTTTTTCCTATCATCATCTTTGTTCTAATTTTATTGCCATTATTAAACTGTTCCTATCTCAGCCTGCAAGTCTCCCTTCACCCCTCTAATTCCCTCCCCCATTCCCAGGTGGGGAGGGGGAAGGGAGGGTGACCAGCTGCGGGGGTTGGTTGCTGACCAGGCTCAAACCACGACATCCAGTTACTTGATAGGATGGAATTGAGTGTGACAGCTTTTAGAAAACATAAAACTATGAATCTCAAAGTAAGCTACTTTATTCTAGTAAGTCTAAAATTTACAAAGACAGATGTCAGATCACATGATAATATTAAAGAAATACACCTAAGCTTAAGATGTTCTGACATTGTTGGTATTGTCTTTTGTAACCCGCTTACCTGTGCAACATCTATGTAATTTATCAAGTCCAATGGCCCTTCAAGACTTTTGCTCTCATTATATTTCAATTTTTCAATGGCACCAACATATTTAACTCTGAATTCTGCACATGTATCAGAGTTACTATTGCTTTGTCCTGCAACAGAATAAAACACAGCAATTCTAAAGAATTCCAGAACAGTAATGCTGTTCTAATTAGTGTCAATGGGACTAACTCATTAAATTCCAAAAATTTTGCAGACTTTTGCCAAACACTTAACCTTACCACAGTATAGTAACTCCTCTCTTTAATGAACTGTTCTGGGCTGATTTAGAACAGCCCTTGGTAAAGGTAACAGTTTCATATGAACCCATGCTACAGCACTGTTTATAATAATTCAAATTTGGAGTTAACAACCTTGAATCAGAAAACAGAAAAGCTGGTCCTACTTATATAATTGTTTTAAATTAACTGTTTGGTCCAAGAGTGATGTGCTGTGAGCTGGTGAGCAAGAACAAGGAAAATCTTATTTCCATTATTTCAGTGCAAATGTAAACTTAGAAAAGCAGGAAACAGCTTTCAAAAAGTTATACCAGATTTATGCTGTGTAACAGTCTGGTAACACAACTAAGTTTTTCTTACTCAGATACTTTTCTGAAAACAGTGAGTTAATCCTAGATCAATCATTAATAATACTTCAGAAGCCTAGAGCTATGCATGCATTAGTCAATAGGCTAAGAGGTTCACTCACAATTATTAAAAATACATATTTTAACGTTTTCCATTTTCTGCTCTTTTATATGAACACACATAAAGTTAATCCCGCTCCATACATATCTGCTCAAACTCTGATTGCATACCTGAACTTTTCGTGGAGTCTGTATCTAGACTAGCCACAGTACTAGACCTGGAAAGTCCCCCGAGACTGGAATCTACAGACTAAGAAAAAAAATAAGTATCATCAGAAAGTTACTGAGAACGCTAATTCACTTTTAGATGCCCTGCCTCAACTCTTTAAATAAACTAGTGTTTACATTCTAATTACTTAAGCAGCACTGCAAAACGGGGAGAAAAAAAACCACCACCATCTATTTATCTCCTGAAGTTATCTTTCTGCCTCAGTGTAGGTATAAATTCAGCAAGAACCCTTGAGAAGTCCACAAATATTTTGTAAGAAGGAGGAAATAAAAGAAAAAAGAGAAAATGAACCTTAAAGTTATGTGCAGACTTTTCTGGTACTGCATCTTAACTTGAAGAAATTGACAACTACATGCTTGTCATCAGTGCTTGAAATAACATAGCAGTGCAAGGGAAGTGAAACGGCACCTTGGAAAATCCAGAATATTCAACTGATCATTCCAAAACCTATCAGACAAAATGGACACATTATTCAAAATGGAGAATACTTTTTAGAGATACTGAGTAACCAACTAGTACTGAAGAATAAACTCATTCTTGGTGCCTAGCACCAGGCACCTTCTTAAAGACAGTATTTACCACTACAGAACAAATGTACTACTTTTCCCTCCAAACCTTACTATGTGCTGTCAGAAACTCTCGTGTTTGGGGGTTTCACTATGGAAACAATCGAACTTTCATCTTGGAATACAAGGGCTTTATAATGGACAGGGTGTTTTAACTCTTGTAACACAATGTTTGGAATAGTAGTAGAAAGTTCTCCTTGTGGAACATGGTGTTTTATGGAAATCACATCCTACCATCAGTACAAGTGAACCACTGAACTGTCAACTTGCAACAAACTAAAGTGCTTCCATAAACAGTACACACTAAATTCAGCTTACCTTGCTTTTAGTGCTGATTTCACTGCTTTGTGAGCTGCTGCTGCTGTGTCGTTTTTTTCCTTTTCTAAACATTTTTTCATAATTGGATCAAGGAAGATCTTCTAGGTAGGAAAAATAAAAATTAAAGCTGTCATATCGAGGGAAGGAGGTCCTGGAAAACACCAGTGACTGTGTCCAAAGTGGACAGAAACTGGAAACTTGTATAAGACTAAGAATGGAAGTAGGAATGTTCCTCTGGTGCTCTTCATGTGTGACTGGGGAAGGTCCCTCAAGCTCTCTGCTAAAACTTCTCTATGCTTCTGATTCATTAAAAAAAAGGCTGTTACCTAGTTTACAGACTGTTGCAAATCTCAGTTTCTAATGCATGTATAGATTTAGATACAAAATTTAAAATTTATATTCACACTTAAAAGCATTAGATGATTTTTATTTCTAACTACAATCTAAGTGCCATACAAAGTCCATCCAATGCAATCCCTGCTCCAAAGATTATGCTCCCATTAAAAAAATAAACAAACAAACAAACAAAAAAAAACAAACCAAAGAACAAAGCCCCCTATTTCTGAAGAAGTACTGATTGCAATATGTCTAGGAGCAGCCATTACTACTTAACACGTTCCTGAAAATTAAAGCAAGAAACATGTTACATTTACTGCCTTAGAACTGAGTTACTGAGAGTTCTGAGAATATTCCAGAAGCATTTTTCCTGTATCTGCCCTACAACTTCAGTTGCTTCACTTAACATTTGGCCTACCAGTATCAAGAAGCAGGATGCTGGCTCCCAGTCAGGAAGGGCTGAAACCCTATTTCCCAGCTTCAGAGAAGAGTATCTTAATTAAAAAGCTTCAGAAGTTTTGGGCAGTTGGAAGAAAGAGGACAAAGGAGGAAGACAACCTACTGAAGACAACTCACTCTGCAGAAAATAATGGAAGATGCGCAAGGAGGAGCCTAGATCTGCGATGCAGCCTGTGACTACCGTCCCCAGGCTGCCGCTGTGTTTGTCATTAAGCAAGCACTTGGTCCCTGGCAGACCAAAAGACACCCTCAGCGACCCGCGGGGCAGCAAGGCACGGCGGCACCCGGCACACCCACGCCCCTCGGGGGTCCCTCCAGCCCCCCCCACGGGTGTAGCAGCCTTGTCCTTCGGAGCACGAGTTTTTTTTTTTATAATCCGTTAGATGCCCAAGGAGCTCTTAGCAGCTCCTGACTTAGCAAACGCGCTTTCTGCGGCGCAGCTTCCTCACTCCGCTTGCAGGAAGCATCGAGCCCTGCCTCAAGACTTCGGGTTCTGCGGCGGGGCGAGGCTCGGGGAAGCCCGGCGGGCTCGCCGCCTTTACCTTTCCTCCTTCCCGTTTTTGTTTGGTCTTTTTTTTTTTTTTTTTTTTTTTTTTTTTTACCTCCAGCCCCTCACGTTAACCCGGCAGATGACAACACGGGAAACCCGCTTCCCGCAGAAGAGGCGGAAGGCAGGGTGCCCAGCGGCCCCAGGCGAGGGCCCGGCGCCCCCCGCCCCCCCCCCCCCGCCGCCACCCCGGGGACGCTCCGCGCCAGTCCCTGCGCGCCCGGGCTGCAGCCTCACCCCTCAGCGGCCTGGCCCCGCTCGCCGCCGGCCCCTCACGCACCTTCCCCTTCCCCCTCTTCCCTTTCCGGGTCGCGCCGCCCGGCGGGCGCGGCGGAAGCGGAAGCGGAAGGCGGGGGGGTGGCGGTGAGGGACGGCGCCGGGCGTTTGCGCCACCATGTCGGCGAAGCGGAAAGGCGAGGCCTTGATCCCGGCGGAGGAGAGCGATCAGCTGCTCATCCGGCCGCTGTGAGGGCCCGGGGCGGCGGGGGGGGGGGGGGGGGGGGGTTGGGGGCGCGGGGCGGGCCGGAGCCTCCCACGGGCACCGGCTGCGCTGTCGCCACGGGTGGGCGGGAGCGCGGCCGGGCCGGGGCCGGGGCCGGGCTGCCCTTTGCCGTGCCCCGGCCAGGCTCCGTTGGTTTCCCAAGGCGCAGGCGGCTTGTCCCCCCCGGCCGGCTGTCACCCCGGGCTGGCCTGCCTTACGCACTGTGGGAGCGTTGGCTGAGCAAAACGCTGCTTTTTTTTTTTTTTTTTTTTTTTTTTTTTTGGCCTTTTGAACGTCAACGGCGTCGCGGGCTTTGTAGTATTTGAAGTTGTTTTGGTTTGGTTTGTTTTTTTTTTTTTAATTCTCTGGTAAAGATGTTAACGCAATTTGAAGGTGTTTCTGGTAGTATCACAAGAGTTGTCTTTTGGACAACCTGAAGATGCCACTTCAAGCTTATTCAACCCAAAGTAATTCCATATTTAAGTAAACTGTCCATTCATTATGCACCTCAGCACTTTGAGACTCAAGTGCTCAGGCATGCAATAAAAACCAGAAGACACCAAAATAGTTTCCACAAAGAGATTCTTTTTTTTTTTTTTTTAATTTCTGCATTAAATAGGGTCTCATTTCCATTGAGATAACTATAACTGTTCAGTTACTTTAAATATCTGAGCCTAAAAGAGCTGTGCAGTTGTCATTTCCACCCAGAAGAATAATCCCAGTGAAGTTATCCTGTATACAGTTAATCTATACGGTGTGGGTTTTAATTTTGGTGACTTTGATATCCTTTTGCAGAGGTGCTGGCCAGGAAGTAGGAAGGTCATGCATTATTCTGGAGTTTAAAGGAAGAAAAATAATGGTAATTATTGCATGAATGTATTTGTATGCCCTCTCATTACGACAGTTCAGATCACAGAAAGATGTTACAGGTTAAATTTGACCTCCACAGTGAGGTCAGCCACTGTGCTAGAAGAGGCACATTTTGTAGCTTTCTGGAACAATATAGTATATGTGATAATAGGCATTACAGAGACTGTCCTGGAAAATAGATCTTTATCGCCAAACAAAATGTATGTGTCTGAAGTGTAGATTCTAAAATTGCACATAGTAGGTTTCAGTGGATCCTAAGGCTAATGCTTACCAGCAGTTCTATATAAACAGTCATGTATAAGCATACACGTGTTCTCTTTCCCTTTTCTAGCTGTCTTCTCAGATGGTGGCTGAAATAACTTGCATACACTGGTTCTGTATATTCAGGTGTTGTTGAAGTGTGAAGGAAGGCTTGCATAAGTACAAAATTAGAAAGACTGGGATCTTTTGAAAGACGATCAGTTTCCCAGTGGAGATAAGTCATTTAGACAGAAGCCCGAGATGTGAAATCCAATG